CAGATCCGAGGAAGGGCCCGATTGATCTCCCAGACAACCTGAGGAACAATTGTGTACATGTAATGTGGTAGCACCAGGAGATCAACCACTGAATTTTCAGGAGGAACATGGAAGAAAAGTTGGGATCTTTGTACAGGACAGGCTGTTGCTGACAAGGATGTGTTAGGGAAGAACCAGTAACCAGCTCCTCCTGTAACAGGATAATCAGGCATTTTGGGGCCCTCTCTATAAGAAAAGGTGCAGAATGCATCCAGAGATGGACAAGGAAGCTGGTGGAGGGGCTGGAGCACAAGTCTGATGAGCAGAAGATGAGGGAGCTGGGGGTGTTTAACCTTCAGAAAAGGAGGCTCAGGGGGGACCTTATGGCTCTACAACACCTGAAAGGAGATTGTAGCCAGGTGGGGATCAGTCTCTTCTCCCAGGTAACAAGTGACAGGACCAGAGGAAATGGGCTCAAGTTATGCCAGGGAAGGTTTTCATTGGGTATTAGGGAGAATTTCTAAACCAAAAGAGTTGTCAGTTGTTGACCCGGGTCAGTGGTGGGGTCACCATGCCTGGAGGCATTTGCAGGGTGTGTCGTTGTGGCACTGGGTGACACAGGCTAATGGTAGCTTGGCAGTGCTGCCTTGGTGGTTGGACTCCAGTGATCTAAAAGTATTTTCCAGCCGAAATGCTTCTATTATTCTAAGATATTCCTTCATGCTCAAAGGTGATGGTTTCCTTTCCCAGCCTATATATAGTTTACAATGAAGTAAAAGCAGTGCTTTGCCTTTGGTGTCTCAGGTGCTCTGAAGACACCTTCAGCTCCTCTGCAGCTGAACTTGTGTGCAGTGGCTCTAGAGATGAAGCAGTGAAACACTAAATAGCCACCAATAAAGAATCAAAATCTGTGAGCTTCTTGTAAATTGTGTTGCTTACATAAGAACAAACACAAAATGTGCCAACTTAGTAAAATAAGTTAAAAACCAACCTATTTAGAAGAGTCTGGGTTCCTCTTTAAAATATGAAATAGGCACCCAGAAGTCTGTTGCTCCATTAATTTTAATTAATTTTAATTCAGTTAAATTAAAACTTTTTTCTTCAGTGTCACTGAGATGGTTTCTTAAATGCTATTCCCATAATTTATGCATACAGTGCAGGAATATATCTATAAAAATCTGAACAAAATTCATGGTTGCAGTTGTCAGTCACACTGAGTTTGTAAGTAATAAAGAGTACAAGCCCATCTACCCAGGGCTTAGAATTCATTCTGCAGTCAATGGAGTACACACAATTTACATGGCAAACATCAACATGGATTATGTATTTTGTTGTATTCTCTTGAAAGCAATTCAAAATGAAGGCATCTAAATAATACAGATAATTCAAAGCAATTCAAAATGAAGGCATCTAAATAATATAGATGGTTCCTAATTTTACTGATGACTCTAGAAATAGAAAATATTTTTACTTGGTTGAAAGCATCAGTAAAGCTTTAGAACAAGAAGAGCAGATGTCAAATATAAAGCCCTTGTTTTTCTGAGCAATGAGTATGATAAACATTGATTATTCATCTTGATGCTAAAGTTCAAAAACAATTGTCCCTTCAGTTTGCCTCATGGGAGTGTGAAATTAGGACCATGTGTGCCTTGATGAACAACATATGAAAGATGAATCATGATTACTGTTTTGGTCTGCTGCACAGGGCTGTGCTGGAGGGGTAGTGATTTCCTACCTCCTTTACCAGATTGCTGTAATTAGTGCTAGCATCTCTCTCTGTTTCCCACTATTTATGTTCAAGTGGCTGCCTGACAGTCACACATATAAATTGGCTTTCTTGAATGAGTGTTTGCTCAACAGAAGAATGTTAGAGTATATTTCAATATTGTTTGTAATAAGGATTAGTTACAGAACTATTCTGAAATCACCCATCCATTTCTATCACCAATGCCATCTCTGGCAGGAATTGCCAGATATAAAAAATAGATGCTTCCTTCAAATATGAAACACTACATGTTCTATATGAAACACTATGTGTTCTATAAACAACATAAAAAGAAGAGGGAAAAGTTCAATAAAATAAAACAGAGTTTTCATTTCATTCAATTGTATTTAATTTATGCCTCTGGCGGCAGACATTAGTTAAATTTAACTTCTCTTGGAGAGGCACAATTAGTTCCTGTGGTTACAAATTTCATTTTAGATTTATTTCTGGATATGTTATCCTAACTTTGTTCCTCTCTGGCCTAGTAATGGGTGAAAGAGTTGTCATAAGTGCATTTCATTACTGAGCTGTTACTATAAATGAGGGTTGGGCATTAGAAAAATAAAAACAAAGAAGTTAACGTCATATAATATAGTCTTTGTATTTTATTGATTTTTGTGCTCTTTCATGTTGAAAGATGGATGTTTAAAATGAAATGCTTTGAACATCCAAATGAGCTGTTCATTCTTCAGGAGATGATGTGCATTGGTCTTATTTAGATCTGTGCTGACTTAGGATATCTGGGGATCTTAGCCTTAATTATTCAGGCTGGATTGAGCCTGAATAATATATATATATATAATAATATATGGATTGAGGAGCAAATCCAGCACTGGTCTCTGTGATTTGAGCTATGTGATGTGTGATGGAGATTCTTCCCAGCTTGCTTGGCCCAATATAGATACAGGATTTGGATTTTAGCTTATAGTGTTTTCTGTGGAGCTCACATAATGTGAGATTTAATGTGGCTAATGCCTCCTCTGCTTCCCCAGCTTTTTGACAAATAATGCTATTTGTAATTTAATATGTGTGCATTTCAACTTTGATTACCTGTTTAAAGATCAGTGGTCTAGAGTTCTTCAGAAAAGATGTTTTGGCTGTTTTCTTTCCTGTGTATTTCTTCTCAGTCCACATGTATAGAAGTAGACCACAGGGATTTTGTAGGCAAAGCTCCAGGACACAAAGGCATTCTTTCTAGCAAGGTTCAAAAAAAATTAAATTAAACAAATGGAAATTCAACAAATGTTCGTGGTTAATTAATGACAGAATCACGTGGTTAATAGAATCACAGAATGGTTTGAGTTGGAAGGAACCTTCAAGATCATCTAATTCCAACCCCCTGCCATGGCAGGGACAATTAGCTAAGAATTCAGAGCCCTGAGGCCATAACATTAATGTTTATAGTTTTGAAGTAAGATGCTCTAAACAAGTTCTCCTAGCTATAAGCCTCCTAAATAGCACAATTACTTTAATTCAAAACCAAGGGAATGCTTCCTGGAAGAATATATTTTTAAACTCACAGCAGTAAGTACCTGAGGGATGAATACTAGAGCTGAGCATGATGAAATTATCTGAGTAGCTCACATGTTTTAACTTAGAACTAGTATAACAATTATTCAATATTTTGGGGTAACCCAAACTCTCAAACCAACTCTCACTAATTACTGCAGCTTTTTTGTACCTTTTCTACACTTGGGAGCAAATTTTTGCCACTAGTAAATCTCATGTGCTGCATAAGTTCAGCAGAGTTTGGCTTATGTTATGTCTCTCTTTGCATCTAAATTATCAAGGCTTGTGGTATATTTATTTATGCTTGTACTGTTCCATATTTTGTTATGTCACCATAATCTCAGGAGAAATGCGATTAAAAAAGTGTTGCCTTTTAATTTTAATATAGCATATAAAATTCCTGTCTAATGAATTAAAATACATATGCTCATTTTCTGTGGAGTTTGGTAAAATTTATGTCTCCCAAAACTATAACTCTAGGACAAAAGGAAGACAAGTATCAATTGATTTGATGGTTAATCTCCCTTTATAAAAAGTCAGTAGTTACTTTTTTTGTGATTTTTAAAATCAAATCATATCTTTGTTTTACTGTAAGTTAAATGATATTTAATAAAGATTAGAGAAATAGAAAGTGAGTCAGACTAGAACAGCTATTAATAGAAAAGTTACAACTCAAAAGAAAGACTCCTTCCTGTTTCAGGAAGCATTTTTGTAATAACAGCTGGTTCAATGCCAAACTAAATCAAACTTAAACAATTAAAAGCCACCTAAAAAGAAAGTGAGATTACAAATTTAACTTGTAACAATACTATCAAAGTCTGAATTGCTTTCATCCTTTAGGAAGTGTTTTAGTTTTTTTTTTAACTTGACAACTCCTACCTTGTTTTTCTTTGTACATACCTGGGTCTGACTGGAGAGACACACAGGGAGTGCTCAGGCATGATCCTGACAACATCGAAATATTGCTGCAGGCCTTTTATACTGATTTTTGCTGTTTGCATTGTAGCAAGTGAACCCAGATATAATTCTATGTAAATGGGTGGTATTTTTTTAAAGCTAATGGTAAATATGATGTATTTTGCCTTTCAGGGAATGATATTGTATCATAAGAATCAGAATTCCAGTTTTCAGCTTTGTGTCTTGTGAGACTGATGCTACATTTTGTGTTTCAAAACTATTTCAGTGCTTTCTGAAGGGGAAGATATTGCATATCTGAGGGCCAAAGTTCTTTTTTCTAAGTAGAGAAGAGACAGCAGACTCATCAACTTGGATTTCCCCTTAGCAGAGTAGTTCTCTGCTTGGTCTTCAGTTTGCAGTATTAACAGTATTTGATCAAAGAAGAAGGTGTTTGTGGTAGCATAATGGGTTTCTGCAACGTCTCTCTTGGAACTTCTGATATTCTTTTTCACAGCTGTGGAGTGTAAAGCAGCTCCTTGGCTCTTCTCTTTTCTCTTCTCTTCTCTTCTCTTCTCTTCTCTTCTCTTCTCTTCTCTTCTCTTCTCTTCTCTTCTTTCTCTTCTCTTCTCCCCTCTCCAATTTCTCATTAAACCTTGGTTAAAGGGATGATTTTTGTACATACACAATTCACCTAGATGCTGGAAGTTGGGAATATCACAAAATTTTCTTCCAAAAATAAGCTTCTGTGATTCCCATCTACTGGGCAGATCATACTACTTCAACCACAGTTTCATATCTTCATGCAAATACAACATTCAGATTTTCCTTTCTCTTTGGTTTTTCTCTACAGGGGCTGTCATCAGTCACAAAGAACAATGGACTATTCAACATCACCTTTAAATATGACAGTAAGTTGAAAATTTGCACTATATTCACTGTATTGATGGAATTAAGGACTCCATCACAGTTGTCAATATATAGCAACATGTCTCTTAAAGTGGCTTTAAGAATGGCCTAAGTTCTTCAATATTGACATAATTTTAAAATCCAGAAATTTGTGTCTGCTGGGTCTGGTGGATCTTCTCCTTCTGTGTCTCACTGATAATAAAACTATCCAACAATGTGTAGTAGTTTCTCTTTCAGGTTGGCCTACATAATTTGCTCAGTATTTGACTGGAACATTATAGAAAATTATTTTATTCTGTGAAAAATATAGTCGTTGAAAGGTTCAGTACATGCAAAGACATTGGAAAGGATTATTTTGAGCTTTATGCAGCTTTTTGCTGATGTGTAATTTTGGGTTAAAATGACGTAATGGGTGTCTTGAGGTAGAAAATGTGTAGTTTGTATACAGGTAATATATTAAAAATTGTCTTTGTAAGGATGAATATCGAATAGCATCTTTTAATTTAGTTGAATCAGTGGGAACTTTTCATTAGCTGCAGTCTTCAGGGCCCAGGCCAATGGAAAACTGCTCTGTGTTTGCAGTACAGGTGGTTTAGAGCTGTAGCAGACGTGTGTTCTGCAGCTAAACTGAGAACAAAGTAATCTCTGGCACAGTAAGAGTGGTAAGCAGGTTGCAGCAGTAATTTCAGACCTCTTCAAACATCTGCTAAATGTCTGTATCTTATTGTAGGGAGTTGTTTTAGGTGTTTTATCATCTTTCCTGTCTAGTTGTCAGAGCAGGACTGCCAACTACATTAAGAATTTATCTTTATGTGGGCAGCTAGTGGCCATCATCAATATAAACTCAATGTACAGTCAAGACAAGGTCCTAATTTACATTAAAACAATGTTTGTTTTAATGCCAGTGCAAGTCAGAGGTGTTTTGTTCTGCCTACCCAAAGAAATTACTTCAGATGCAGAATGTAGGTAAAGTTTCATTATTGAGAGCATGCATCAGGAAACCTAATAATAGTGATTTGTTTCATTCTGATCATCCTTTTGTTCCTCTATTTTTGTGTTAATTTCTGAATTTGCAGTCCTTCACTGTGAATTTTTTTTAATCTAATTTGATCTTAATACTTAAAGTGTGTCAGATTGTACAAGATGTAGGTGATCACTACAAAAGAAGTATGATTTTTTTTTTTATCTACATAAAGGAAACTAGGAAATGGTACCAGTCAGAACAGAGATCTCCACTTTCAGTTAACACAATGAGTCTGTTTAAATCCCAGTTTGTGTCATGGTTTTTCCATTAATTCTGGCACTAGAAACTGTGTTTAACCAATGAGAAGTATTAATTCACAATTCTGCTGGCACTCTGTGCTTCCTGGACAAATGAGTTATTTGAGTTGTGCAGGACTGGGAAAAGAGTTTGCTGATATGAAGACTAAAGAGCTCACATGGTATGGAAATATGTATTTGCCTTTAATAAGCCAGCACAAAAGAGAATTTGGCCTCTTGGCTGTGGTTTAAAGGCTCTTATTTTGCCACAGAGCAATTCTAGGAAACTGTTTTATGATGCTAAATTAGTTTGTTGGATTATTTATTCAGGTGAAAAATAAATGTGTGCATTTTTTAGTACGTCACTTGTATTCAAGTAAAAGAAGTGATTTCCTAAAAAGTGTGATTTTTCCCTGCTGTTTTCTTCCTAAAACTGTTGTTCTTTATAACTAGAAATCAGTGACTTGCAGTCAAACTTCAGGCATTTGTGCTATATTCCATTTTGGCAAATTGTCATTTGACCATAAAATTCTAGTAACCAGGATCCAGAATCTTGGGTTTGCTATTAATTAGATCCAGACCTAGCAGAACCCAGTTACTTCAAACTTTCCATTGAAAGAGATCCTCTATCCTCCTAAGAGGAAGTTCACGCTGTCACTGAGTTCACTCATAGCAACTGAATTCTACAAACACTGGAGTCAGAACCAACCTCCCAGCTTTTGTAGAAGGCAGAGTTGTACAGTGTTCTATTCCTATGTCTGTGACAGTTATAGAAAAGACCCCTTGCCATGGTTATTCACAGTAAAAAGCCATTTTCTAAATCTCTTTTACAGTTAATAATTTTTCTTTCCTTGCCTTCAAGATCACACCTCTGAATTAAATTCAAATTTCCTGTACTGGCGTATCATAGCACTTGATTTTTCATGTTTCTTTTCTACAAGCTCTGTATAGATGAATATATACACCATATAAATGATCTCAGTTTTTTTTAATTAGTCATCAGTCAGTAATATACAATCTACTGATCAATTTCTTCTGGATTTTGTTGGTTTCACTAGTTCAGAAACAGAATGTTTGTTTTTGCACACCCATCTGCATGTATACTGTGCTCCACAACGAGTGAATTCCCTGCCTGCTACTTCTCTTCCTGCCACAAAATATGAACCTAAATATTGTAAAGCTTTAAAAGTTACAACATTTGGGGTTGTTTTCTTCTATTGAAAACAAAAACAACAACAAACTCAGCGATCTTTTGTTTATATTTTGTTTTCTTAATTAAAGCTAAAGCTGTGGTGCTGTAGTTTGCAGTGTGTTTTGTGAGGAGAGCAAGACACAGCCAGTCCTGAGTGACTCCAGTGGCAGTGAAGTGGTGTGTAGGGATGTGGCTGCAGAATGGAAGGCAGAGAGGAGAGGGATTTAAGCAGTGGGGTCTTTGTGGTCAGGATCAAGCAGCATTGTGGTTAAAAGCTCTTCTTGAGCAGTTCTCAAGCTTCACATGGTTTATTGTTCTCATATGTGCCTGATCATTCATCAACATTGTCTTGCTTTGAGCACTGTACATGAACAAAATTAATGTCAGTCTTCATATTATTTTGAACAACTACAAGGAAAAAAAGGATTTTGGGAATCCCAAAACTTGTCATGTGGTACAGGTTACACTGGTGTATAAACTGGTAATATCCTTGGGAGTCCTGTGAGCTATGGGTTGGCAACCAGTGGAAGTGGTTGTGCTCAAAGATTTGTGAAGTTTTGTGAGTTTTTGAGTGTGGAGACAAAAACTTCATCTAGATTTGCTTTGTAGTACTTACAGAAAATAATGCACTGGTAGTTTTATTTGCTCAGTCTTGAAGACATGCTAGGGAACTTAATGTCAGCCAGAATGTTTTTCTAAAAGTGTTTATTTGTCCGTATTTTTAGACTGCACTCCATATTTGAGTTCAGTGGGAAGACACGTGATTGGAGATGTGCAGAACATCACTATCAGTCAGTTTGCATGCCAGGAGCAGGTGGCTGTGATGATCCTTTGGACAGCAAATGCTATTGGTAAGTTCTAGAGGGAAATGAACTCATTCATCATGGGTTTGGTAATAACTTCCTGCTCATAGGTATTAAGTCAAATAATTAAATTATGCTTGGAATCGTTGAACCTTTGCAAAGCTCCTATTTTTTCTGGCTTGCTTCAAAAACACTCTTGAAACTAGGATGTTCTCTGCACCCATACACTGCTTTTTTCTATCCCAGTTTATTCAATTCCTGCTCTTCAGAGCTGTGCAACTGTCCCTGGTTTCATTTTGTGCCCTAAGGCTTTGATGCATTTCAGTGGCATTGATTGAGTTTAGTTCCTGATACACTTTAAAGGTTCTTTAAGATGCAGATTGTCTTACAGATGGAAAACATTATTTAATCACAGCTGTGCAAACTTTTAATGTGTTTCCTTGCCAGGTCTGGTGATTAAGAGTATTCCTTAATTACTTCAATGTCACTTGAAGTATCTTGTTGTCTTGTATCTTGTTGCCCACTAGAGCAGTAGTGTCCAAAATTGAGGATGTGCAGAAATCCATTTCCACTGAGAAACTTATTTCTGGGCTTTAAAAGAATATGTGAAAATTCCACTAAATTCTGCAGAACTGTGCAGTTGAAGGCATTTACTAATCTTCAGCTGCAGACTGGATGAATCAAACATCCATGGGAAACAAAGCCTGGTGTTCTTGTAATGACCAGAGGTTAATCCTTTGGACAGTTTGAGGACAGAGCTGCTGTTCAGACATCTCGGGTGACATGGGAACTGGACACCTTCTCTGTCAGGGTCCTCGTGTAAGGACAAATAGTGCTTTTGTTCCATAGAATACTAAGAACATGATTGGCAACACTTTATCTTCTACAAAATTATAAAACATTAATCAAAACACACAAACCCATGGAACTAGTGAACCAGAGGAGGTGGTGGAAAATGTGGAAATGATACATTTGGGAATTTATTTTTTGGGTTGACAAGCATAGCATAAACTGAAATGAGTCCATTTTGATTTATGTAGTATTTAGCTTACAAAAGCTGTGTCATTGATGCATTGATGTGTAATGCTATAGAAGAGATGCAATTAGATGGAGTAGTGAGAATCCAAGAGCTGTGCAGTGCCTTTGATACCTGAGCCACAAAACTGTCACAGGGTAAAACTGGCATTTTCCTGGGATATTCACATCACTGTGACTAAACTGAGTCACATCATGAAGTAATTCTGTGATGAGAACATTGTAAAGACACTGTGCTAAGTCGTACTAGAGTAACTTGAACAAAATGGGTGTAGTTCTGGCAGCAGTTATGAATAACTGGAAGTATACATGCACTGGAATAAATTCCATTCCATTTAAGTCAAGTTTTCTGTGAGCCCTTACTGTACTAGAACTAGAGAAGTTGTAACAATTGTTACCATTTTAATCTGGAAGTCTCAGAGGTGATAGTAAAATTTATAAAGGAATATTTCTATAATTTTCCAGCAAAAATACTGTATTTGTTTGTTAAAATGGAAATGTGAAGTTACTATAAAGTATTTCTGAAGGTGAAGAAGGTACTGGTAACTTACATTGCAGTGATAATTTGGAAACCCCAGATGAGACAAGGGCCCCTCTGTTGCAAGCATTACACAAGTAAACAGTGATTGTAGCCTTTGCCAAAGACTGAATTCTAGATAGGCAAGATGGGATATGCAGAACTGACAGACAGCAACAGATATTAAATACAAACATATTTCATATGACTGATAAGTTTTATTTTTAAAGCCAAGTGAAATATATTCAAATTACATAAAATACCACATTATGCATTTTGAAATAGTAATCTTGTGTTTAAATTCCCTGCTGTTTGTAGGGATTGAATACCTGAAGGGATTTCGAGTAATACTTGAGGAGTTAAAATCAGAGGGAAGACAATGCCAGCAGATGGTTTTAAAAGATCCAAAGCAGCTCAGCCCCAGTTTTAAAAGAACAGTAAGTGCTTTGTTTCAAGAAAAGTTTCAGTGTTGTTTGACTGTGTGAGTGGTCTTGAAAGTGTTTATCATCCTAGAATGGTTTGGGTCACTGAAGGTCATCCAGTTCCAGCCCATCTGCCATGGGCAGGGACACCTCCCACTATCCCAGGTTGCTCCAAGTCCCATCCAGCCTGGCCTGGAGCACCTGGAGGGATGGGGCACTCACAGCTCCTCTGTGCAGCCTGTTCCAGGGCCTCACTTCCTTCACACTCAAGAATTTCTTCCAATATCTAACCCAGCCTCTAATCTAACCCTACCCTCTCTCAGTTTGAAGCCATTCCCCCTTGTCCTATTGCTCCATGCCCTTGTGCAAAAGTTGGTTGGTTCCCAAAAGTATTATTGGTGAAATTAATGATAATTGTTGCTTTAGAGACAGATCTTGTTTCTTTTGATAGAAACTTTCCTGAAGTTGGGAACTGTCATTTTGGTGACTGGAGTAAAGCTGCACATCTGTAATAGTCTACATCCAACTATGTATTGAGATTCCTCATGTCAGTTTGGAAAACAGGGGTAGAAAAAGGCTTCTTAATGCATTAATTTCAGCCTTTGATTGCAAAATTGTGGGCTTGTTTTGAAAAATACTTTCAGCTGTGATAGTTGATTTTGCAATCTTGTTTTTTTTGTAGGGAATGGAGTCCCAGGCCTTTTTAAACTTGAAGTTTGAAACAGATTACTTTGTAAAGATTGTTCCTTTTCCTTCCATTAAAAATGAAAGTAATTATCACCCATTTTTCTTCCGAACTAGATGTAAGTATTGCATATAATATAGTCTTGCATTTTATATAGTATTGCATATCATCTCTTCAGTGAGCCTCCCCTCCATGTTCTGGTTTTCCCAGCAAAGGAATGTAGTGGATGATGATGTTGGAGGAGTCTGGGTTAAGTAGTTACTGACATTGTTGTGGAAGGAAGATCTGGATGTTAAGCAGAAAGAATTTGCATGCCATAGATAAATCAGTGGTGTGTGATCATAAGTGTTAGGCAGCAGCCAGAGAAGTCTCAGAGACCCGAGATGATCTCAGGTTTGCCTAGAGCAGGCTTGTTCTCGTGGTTCTCAGTTAACTCTTGAAGATTGTTTGCTCCTCTCTGGACATTGTGAGGAAGGGCAGGCTGGTTTTTGCTTTTGAGATTACAATTTAAAAACAGCTGTCTAAAGACAGATGTAGAGGAGGACATCTAAAATTAGATAGCAGCAGATCAAGTTGAATTTCTCTCAATTACTTAGCAATTCTCAATGGAGGTAGAGAGAAGAAATTTGAATAAGCTCCTCAGTGCTCACACAGTATGGGGAGAAGCTGCAGGTACCCTTTGAGGTGAACTGTTGATATTTGTCCTGCTAAGGTTTTTTTTCCCCTATAAAAATCGTTTAAGGTGTTTTCAAGTCTGTCTGTTAATGCAGACCACTATGCCATTGGTAGTAGTGCTCAGCATACTTATTTATTCTGAGTAAATATATTTAAGACTAGTTTTAACTTCCTCTCCTGGTGTGCTGTTCCTGGTGTTATCCTTTTTATATCACTAAAAAATGTGACATTCAAATTAATGGATCTCTGTTTCTCATGTAAAGATGAGAAGGAACTTGAAATAATAACAAAGGAGTTAAGTTTGCAGAATGCATTTAGTCCAGGCATATTAGAGTCTGGGAAAGAAGTGGGGGTATTTAAAATGATGAACTCTCTCTTTTTGCCCTTGTTATTTTTCTGTTGAAATAGCATAGCAGTTTGATACTGTATAATTAATAATTTTCTGTATATTTGTAGCATGTGAATTGTTGCTACAGCCAGAAAACCTTGTCTGCAAACCTTGTAAGTAAAATGTAATATTTCTATATATTAATCTTAAAAAAAATTTCTGTACTTGAAGAGTCATTTTGTGATTCATTAATATCTCCTCTGACAGACTGGAAGCCAAGGAATGTGAATGTTACCCAGCAAGGTTTTAACATGCAAGTGTCCTTTGATCATGCACCTCACAACTTTGGGTTTAGGTACTACTTTCTTCACTACAAACTGAAGCATGAAGGGCTGTTTAAGCAAAAGACCTGCAAACAGGTACGTGGCTGAGTTTTGCAGCTCTTAAAAGCACAAAACCTATTGACATGAAGTGTTCTAAGGTCTTATAGAAACTTAAAAAACTTAATGGAAAATAGTATCAGTTTTAAAATTGTAAAGCTATTTGGAGCTATTTATGTAAATAACAGTTGTGCTGTGATAGCACTCATCAGTCAAAACTCCACTGGACCTGGATAACACAAGTTAGTTCTGAGGCAGACAACTGTGTAAGTGAATGGGCAGACTTAGTTTTGCTTGTTTAAGGTATGTTAATACAAGAGTGCACTGCCTATTTCTAAATTAATGTGAATTCTTTATTAGGTTTTAAAAGTATGTGAATTGCTTGCAAATATTCTTTCTTTGATGTAGGAGCAGAACACAGACACTACAAGTTGTGTTCTTCAGAACGTTTCTCCAGGGGATTATATCATTGAGGTAAGATTTCTAAACAGTCTTTTGTACAACACCTAAATGAATATGTTGATGACAAAATGGAGTAAAATTCAAATGTTTCAAATCACACTGGTAGAATTGAACTTCAGGTATCCCTACTGAAGTAACTTGGGTAATTTTCTAGAATGATGCCTTTTTTGGGCTTACCTAGAAACAGAGGCCAGAGCCTGTTGGTAGATTAAGGGCAGATGAAGCCTCTCCCCAGTGGGCTACACCCAAAATGGACAATGGTCATGACTTTTTTCAGACAGATAAAAGTTTAGTCCATTTACATATCAGGGATTAATCCTCCAATTACAGCTTCAGGTAACAAAGTCATATTCCCCTAGTTTGCTCCTCACCAATTCACTTTTGTTTATACTTTTCAGGGCCTGAGGCTGTAGGGTGTCCTTGAGTTACAGACCCAGGGGAATTGTTTTGTCTAACCAAAATGTGAAGACAGTTAACAGCACTTTATATGGAGTTTAGAGTTCTGCACTCTTGCAGTACAGGATTTGAAAAATGCAAAGGCCAAAATCTTAAGGCATCAGAATCTTCTTGACCTGTCCATTGCTTCCCTGAGTATGCAGCACTTTGAGCTGTGCCTTAAAACTGAAGTTGTGGGACTGCATAATTCTTGGACTTTGATTTTTATTTTTTTTAATTGGAATTTTGTTTCTTGGTCAATTTTTATTATACTAGTTTGTGCTGCTTATTAGTTTTAACTATTTGAACAGTAACTTTCTTCACATTTGGTCATAAAAGCTGTTACAGTTATTTTCATATTGCAGAAAATAAAATTAATCTTTTACTTTTCCAAGCTGGTTGATGACACTAATACAACAAGGAAAACAATGCACTATGCGCTAAAACCAGGTATGAATTCTGTTTTTTAAGCAATATACTAACTTAGAGTATTAATTTAGAATCAGTTTTAATTATGTTGGAAATAAGTCTCTGTTTGACCTTTGTCTGTTTGCCATAATCGAGACTATTGAGATAATTGTGCTGTGCTTTTTTGACCTAATAAAAAAAGAGATGCACACTTGAGCATACACATGTGCATCTCTTTACATTTATATTTAGTGGAGTTTAGATCAATCTATCACTGGAAATCTTTGTGGGAAAGTGGCTTTTGTTGTATATGTGGAAATGGGGAATGATAATTGCATATAACTGAGAGTGCAATAGTGTGGAGATGCTGTAATGAAGCTGTGGGAGCAGCCTAAACACATCACCTGTGTCCTTCTGCCCTGGTACCAAACTGAGCAGTCTGGAGGGCCTGTCAGGTGAATGCTTCACATGCCTATGAATCAGACCTGGTTTTGAGAAGCTAAACAGGGATTTCAGAGTGTAACTGCAGCCTCAAAACAGCCACAGGTGGAGGCAGTGGATAAAATGCACTGAATCCTAATGCACGTGGCTAAGGGTGGTCTCTGCAGGAAGGCAGTTCTTTCTAAGTGGCCAGTTCAGCACCCTGGAACCAAAACATGTCAGGTCCAAATGACCACTGCATATCTCATCAAAATTATTTGTCACAGGATTGCTCCCCTGGGGCTTGTGAGAGTTACTCTGATGCTGTGGCATTGGGGTAGCCACCATAAAACCTAATTTGAAATGGAGCAGAACGTGATATTTGAGCCTAGTGTATCTTCAACAATTACCCGATAACAGAGCACTGCAGCAGTTTTGCATTCCCAGTGAGAAGATTTGTTTAGATAATTGTAGTACAGTTGATTTGCATGTGGCTAATTCTGTTTTCTTTTGCCAAGTGCACTCCCCGTGGGCTGGCCCGATCAGAGCCATTGCCATCACTGTCCCCTTGGTTGTCATCTCTGCATTTGCCACGCTTTTCACAGTGATGTGCCGCAAGAAACAGCAAGGTAAGGCTTTATTAGTGCCCAGTTCCATTTAAAGATCTGCTTCTGCAACCTGAACAGTCTTAATTGATGGTTAACTCCAGAAATACCTTTTTCTGAAAAGCTTTATGTTCTATTTCTCTGTCCTTCCTCCCCTCAGTCTTTTTTGTGTTGAAACTTGTAGCATATTCTTAATCAGTGTTTGATGATAATTGGTTGCCTAGACAGTATTGTGTCACAGATCAAGACTTCACTGTAGAAAGGAGAGAACAAAAGCAATATTGGAAAAAACATTTTATTTCATATTTCTTTTTCTTTGAGAAAGTACTATGTCACCATGTAGATCACAAACAGATTTGTAAATGGATATGTTTTAAGCATTCCCTTATTTTACTCAGAAATATCTAATTCATATTTATTTTAAATCAGAAGGAAAGTAAAGCCATGTGATGTCAATACAATTCACAGTGCTGTCTGGAATTATGTCTGTCTATACTGTCTGTAGCTGCTATTCCACATATGCTCACTTTCCTGGAAGTTGCCTTTACCATTTATTCTAAACCATCTTCCTGAGTTTACTCTAAGTCCTGCTTGCAGATGTTTTTAGATTCCATCCCTCCTTGCTGACTTCTCTTCTGTATCCAGGAGTTGGCAAGCAACACTTGATACATTTAAATGTTAAAAATACATTGGCTTTTTATATTGAATTTAGAGAATCATGTGGTTTCATGAATAATGGAAAAAGAGATTACTTCTCCAAACCTCACATATCTGTGTCATCCACCTGAATTTTGGCACTGAGATATACTGCAAGTGCTCTATGCCAGCTGGGTTAAATCCTTTTACCTTCTGGTCTTCTCTAGTTATCCCTTTGCTCACAGCTAGCACAGTTCCAACAAAAAACCCAGACAAATCACTGAGGATTTGTCTGCAGAGAGAGTTGTTCCAGAATAGTTATTCCTGATGAATTGTTCTGAATTGAATCCCTAGATGGATATTTGTATTTTGAAATACTCATACTTTATTCCAAATTAGCTTAATCAGCTGTAGAACTAGATTGAATTAGTCTGGCATAAGGCCAGACTTTCATGTTCCAGCATAAAAGCATCTATGCAAGGAAAAACACAATAGCTATTTTGATTTAAATTAATCATATCTTAATTCAAATTAATGTCAAATTAATGTCCAAACACGAGTGTGTATCATACACTAGAGAAATCCTGTATGATATAATGAAAGGGTCTGTGGACCTGGAGTTTGATATTCTTACCTGACTTATGTTGTGGTTTGGGTTTTAACAAGAGACTTCATTAGACAGGAGACTCTTGAAGATGATACATCTTTAGGCTTATAGTATTTGAACAGAGATTTGAAGACTGTTGAAACTGAATAAAGGTGAAACAACCTAATTGTACCTATAAAATAAACCTTCCTTGTGTTTTCTGAGTTGGACAGAAATAACTGCACATTTAACTTTGGAAGTGTATTCCACATGCAGCAACTCTTAAGCTGGATAAATAGAGTGTGTACAACTTTTGTTTTTCATGAGAGGAAAATGTCTAGGAAAAAATCTCAAACATCACTGTATGCATTAGTAAAAAAACTACAAAAGTAATAAAAACCCAAAACAAAATCAAGCTTTATAGTGTGAATTCTCTTTTCTCTTGCACTTTAGAAAATATCTATTCCCATCTAGATGAGGAGAGCTCAGAATCTTCAGCATATGCTGCAGGTGTCCATGTGGAAAGACTTCGTCCCCGGCCAAAAGTGTTCATCTGCTATTCCAGTAAAGATTGCCAGAAACACATTAATGTCATCCAGTGCTTTGCTTATTTTCTTCAGGACTTTTGTGGCTGTGAGGTAAACTCAACATTTCATATGTAAACAACTTTTACTTAATTGAAACAGCACTCCCAAAATTCTGTGTTTGAAAAGTAGGTATTTCAGTCATTCCTTTCCACAGAGATAACTGTTGTTATTTTTCTAAATATTGGCAGTGTGAATTTTCTTTTTCTTTTGGGGAAATGAAGAATTCTTATCCAGTGTAAAAAAGCCAAAACAACCCAAACCATCAGAATAGTGGAAGTTCATGATTTCAGGACTTCCATTCAGCCATGTTTAGCTTGCTTTGAATTAAGTGCTTTTTCTGTTCAGTACGTCATACATCTTTATAGTCAGCAGTCACAAAGAGTTATTGTTGTCTACCTGATATACTTCGGTATTCCTAAAGTGTATTTTGTTGTAATTTAAAAGAAGTTGAATCTATCAAAACTTCTACTCATAGAGCAAAAATTGCATTATTAGGATTACTTGTTGACAGCATGTACTTACTAATTGTTTTTTATTTTTTTTTTGTTTCTCTTCTGTTCCATTAATACTTTAAAGTCAGCAACTCTTTTTTTTCTTGTCTTTGAAAGATATGAGAGAGACATTTGAATTGCTACTTTGAATGAGCAGGCTTAGAATCTCATACTGCTGTCTGAAATAGAATCGATATGTGGCCAGTTTTTCACTTTTCAGCTGGAAAAAGGCAGGACAATTTCTGGTCTCTTTGTGCTGCATTTTTCCTCCCAGCCCCGGGATATGAAGGGGATGAGCTGGAGCTGGGTTTCATTACAGCAACTCTGCTCTCTGCTGACCAAACACAGAAACACAGCCCAGGCCTCGTGTGTTTGGTGGGGATGGTCACAGCTTCTTAATCTGTTTAAAATAGTTCAGGGTAAACTGTTATAAATAACTTACTTGAAACCCCTGTTAGAGATGTACTTTAGCCCTACTGCACTGCTCCTCTTTGGAATAGTGTTGAGATGAGCTCTTACTGCTCTAACCATGGCATATATGGTCTCAGGCTTCAAAGGAAATTTTATAAGTGGTTTTGATATGTGTTTATTGTGCAAGTTTTTTACATCTCCTTTTTTCTCTTATCCTACTACTCATTCCTCCTGTGAGATAAAGCATTGTGTCCCTCATCTTGGTGTACACAAACATTTCAGATTATGCAGAATGGCCAGAAAGCTTGACAAAGTAGAAAATAAAATAACTCCTAGGATAAAATTTTCAGAGCTTTCTCATCAGATAAAACTGCTGCTGTTTTGCATCCTAACTGGAAGGTCTTGATATTATAGGCACTAATTATGTTTCTATCAAGATATGAAAATTCTTGGCATCACACTTCATTAATATGCAAGGATGATAAGTGAATATGGCACTTGGGGGCACAGTTTATTGGTAGACTTGGCAGGGCTGGGTGAAGGGTTGGACTTGACCTTAAAGGTCTTTTTCAATCTAAGAAATCCTGTGATTCTGTTACTTCTGCTACATTCAGCACATTATGGACCCAGACACACAATGGTAAATTATTTGAGGCAAGCACAATTGTTTATTGTGGATTGATGATACCAAATTTGATTACACAAGTTAATTGTAATTTACTGGATCTAGCCACATTTTCTATGTTATTTTTATTCCCCCAAAAACTATTGCTATCTATCAAATCTGTCGTGCTTTTTTTTTTAAGGACCCACTTGGGTTTATATACATAAAATTTAATATCAACCAGAATTTTTTTTTTTCTTTTCTAGGTGGCTTTAGATTTGTGGGAAGATCTGAAAAACTGTAAAGAAGATCAGAAGGAGTGGCTTATTAAAAACATAAATGAGTCCCAGTTTATCATCATTGTGTGTTCCAAAGGAATGAAGTACTTTGTTGAAAAAAAGAACTGGAAGCACAGAGGAGTAGCCAAAGATGCAGGAAAAGGAGAAGCCTTTCTCTTTGCTGTGTTCACTGTTGCAGAGAAGCTTCGTCAGGCAAAGCAGAATTCAGCTGAGCTCTGCAAGTTCATTGCAGTCTACTTTGATTACTCCTGTGAGGGAGACATCCCTGCTATTCTGGATCTAAGCACAAAATACAAACTCATGGACAATCTCCCCCAGCTCTATTCACACTTACACTCCAGAGATCTTAGTGTACAGGATTCAGAGGTGTTTCCTGTTAATATTAGTAAAAGGAATTATTTCAGGAGCAAATCTGGGAGGTCCCTTTATGTTGCTATTTGCAACATGCATCAGTTCATTGATCAGGAACCAGATTGGTTTGAGAAACAATTTATTCCCTTCCCTCCACCTTCTTTACACTACTCGGAGCCTGTCATGGAGAAATTTGATTCAGGCTTGGTTTTAAATGACTTGGTGAATAAACAGGTGATGGATAGTGATTTTTACCTGAAAACAGATCTAAACATTTCAGTGGGGAATTCAGACTCTCACTGTATACTTCAGCACTTAAACCTTGGAGAAGATGTAGAAACTCAGGACATTCAAGGTGGTGGCAGCTCTGTCCTTCAGCCATTGTTACATGTTGTTAAAGCTTCAAATCTGAAAGACATGCCTCGAGATTCTGGAATCTATGATTCATCTGTTCCTTCATCTGAATTATCTTTACCTTTAATGGAAGGACTATTGACAGACCAAATGGAAACATCTTCCATTACAGGAAGTGTTTCTTCATCATCAGGTTTAGGTAAGATACAGCAGTGTTTCTAAACTTATATTCAGTTACTGTGGATATTTCTGCCATCTCCAGATAGGTAAGATAATATGTGAGGAGCTATATAGAAGGCTGCAGAGAAAGGTTAAAATTGTATAAAAATAGTAAAACAGGTAGAGTAACTTGGGAAAAATTAATATTTTTCTAAACTTACAGTGTGTGGAGGAAATCTTAGCTGGGTAAGATATCACTAAAATTCTATTAATAAGTCACTGCTCGTTAATTGACCTATTCTTGGAGAGATTGCTTCTTCCTTACAGTGACTCCTTGGCAGCTGGGATTTCAGCTGACAGCTGTGTGGTGTAATCAAGAGGGTAAGATGGTGAAGCATTCTCAGAGCCAGCCATAAATCTAAACCTGACATCCTATTTTGCTCCAGCACATACTGAATCCTTGAGGGATATTGTCTGTACTGTGGTTAACTCAGGTTTCAGAATGACATCAGGCTTCTCATCAGATACAGGGCTGGGGAATGAACAAATGGCTTTCAGTGGAGTGATTTAAATGCTTGGAAGACATTCTCCAGAATAGATACCCAGCTCAGATGCCTCCAGTTAGAAGGTGTAAATTTTGCCTCAGTCTGTATAAAAAAACTGGTCTAACCTTACTAGTTGCAGGATATTGAACTGGCATCACAACTACCTCAGTGTGGAATGTTCCAGCAATTGTACTGATATGATAAAACTGCTTTTTGCTGAGATTTTTCTTAAGCAGCTGCAACAGGTGAATATTGCATTTTGATGGTTGTATACTGTTCTGCTTTCTGGAATGAGTGTTGACAGTGCATTAACTAGACTTTTATCTTAGGTAAATGAATTTTTTATTCTTATTAAGATAATTCATAACTCATGTTTGATGCCAGAATTATCTTGGAGGAAGAGAATACAAATGCTGATTTACAGATACAGCACCTATATTTATCAGCTAGATAGTCTATATGACTAAATAATTAAAATCTGAAAAAAAACTTCAGGTGGAAAAAATACAGCTTTACAGATGTAATTAATTAAGCCACAATTACTCTGTTTTCAAAATTAAAATTAAAACTCTATTTTTTAGTTTCCTACCATCTTCTAACTTAGCCTCTTCTCACATTTATGGGAAAAATTACAGATGAACTCTGTAAAGGTTCTAGTGAAAGCAGGATGCTAGTTTAAAATGTATGGCCTCCCTGTAAGAATGCTTTCCCAGTGTGCCCCTCCTGATTCAGTTGCTGAGCTGTCAGCTGGGTATCCCAGCTGCAGGGAGGCACTGGAAGAAAGAGGCAGTCTTCCCAGTCATTAATTCTCAAGTCACATACCCCCTTGTTAATATGCTTCAGCTGTAGAGGTTAAACGTTACAGCCCTTGCTGATACAGTTGCATTTTAACACTGATGTTCCAACGTCTTAAGAAACCACAATAATTTCTGCCATTTTCCCATTTACTGGCCTCATCCAAAAGCACCACCTTGACTCACCCAAAGCACAGTCCTGATCAGGTACAGGGTACAAAGGGGACAGGATCTGGAACTGGGCATCATCTGCATTCTGGAGTGCAACCCATTAAATTTATTTAGTGTCCCAGACATACAAAACATTTATAGCCCTAATATTTTTACGCATGCTAATGAGCGGAGTAAATAGAATTGTTTAGCTTTATTCTTGTTCTGAGAGACAGACACATCCAAATTATTGCTCTGAATTCACCCTACATTTCAGATTTTTATTTATTTTACCTGTTTCTTGGTCAGAACAGATGTGAATAGCTCTGACATTTAGCATCTCAAAGAAGATCTTTCCTTTCTTCCTTAAAGGACAGTTTGATACAATGTTTTGAATAAAAATCCTAAATCACATTTTTTATAACCCTTTCTATCTTTCAGTGCAGTTCCTGAGCAGACTACTGGTCTGCAAATTAAGGATTCTCAGAGAAATCATTATCCTCAACTGGAGTTCAAACCAGTTTAATTTTGAGGAATTACCAACAACCAAACCTTTACTGGGTCCTAATAAGGTCTTCCCTAAGAAGTCCTGCCTGGGAAGGGAATCAGTATTATATCTCTAGATAATGTTCTGCTGAGCCTTAGGAGTGTATGGCAAGATGCTGCAGAGGCATTTCATAAAGTTTTCTTTACATTGTTTCTGAAGTGTTGACCAAGTACAAAATCACTGTTTCAATTAATGAAACTTTTTTTTTTCTGTTTCCCTTTTATAGGGGAAGAAGAACCTCCTGTAATGACTGCTACAAAGTTCTTAGTGCCTGGAATATGTAAAGCAGAACTTCATTGCCACATCCACACTGATGAACTGCAGGCAATTGCTCCTTTATAATACATTACAAAGTTGTTATGCATTGCCACTTTATCAGCAGCCTCTGTTTGTGCTTAAACTACCACACTGTCTCAGCACCAAATCTACTTGAAGGAACAAACAGCCCCTGAAAAAGATCTGTTATTCCATTTTTTTGTGGCCAGTAAACTTGAATCTGTTGGTCTTTTTATAAAAACTCTTTCATGATTTGAAAAATGTAGCATGGAAAAATAGAAGACCATACATTTAAAATGATTCCTGTTGTAATTTGAATGTCATGATATTACACTGTTTACAGATGCCATAATCAAAATTTACTATTTTTTTGCTAGGAATAACTTTTCAGCTGGACATAAGATAGCTTGGAACATTAAGCCTTTAATAAATTTTGTAGTCCAGCCTCTAGTTTTAAGTGCTGATGTACTTGATGGCAGGAGTGTTTTAGTGAATGAGAACAGGATTTTTTTCAGAAGCAAGATAAAATGCCAAAGGTGAGATCGAGAAATTCTCCATCAGAAGAAATATTTGAAAATAATTTTCAAAAGAAAATGATTTGAAAAAAATTTGAGGAGAAGTTTCTTTGAGCTCTCTTCCCCAGTCTCCTTTTCCCAGATGTTAATGTGTCTCAGTATTTAATTTCAGTGCCTGTCTCCTCCTTCTGCATTCATCTTCCGACTGCCCCTCCACAGTCTGGCACAAACAGCACCATACTGAGGCTGAAGGATCATTCTTAAAATAGACAAAAATACAGGTCCTCCATATTCTGAATGATACCATGGAAACAAAGTTTCCTATTTTCTTCCTGAAGGGCTAATATAAAGAATAAAGAGAAGAAAGAAGGAAGACCATTTTCTATATTGAAGAAATTCTGGGTTTGTTCAGCCCTGAGAGGAGTATGCTTTATGGGGGGTACAGGGTGCTACAAAACCACCTGGGGTAAAACAAGCCAGGACAAGCAGTTAACAGACAGGAATACTTTGTCTTGAGCCAAGCAGTAAACAGAAGCCAGTGAGTTATTTTATAGTTTACACTGCTTATCATCACTTAGTGATTAAGATTGTATACTGTCACTAGTGTTATATTAAGGAAAAATGCAAAAACTACCACTGGCCCTGTTTATCTGCTGATACAGAGCATGCATGTCCTGTTTCCTGTAGTGTTTCCTGTAGTGATCAGGTGAGTAAATCTTTCAAAAATGCCCCTCCTGTTTCCAAGGAGCAACTTTTCTAAGTTAAACACATTTATGCAACTGTAATTCCAGGCACTGTTACAGTAAGCACAGGAACAGCAAATACTAAAGGACACCTTACCAATGTGACTTTGCTCATTCTGCTCACAGAGTCAACTTCTGTCTCCTTTAACCTGTATTCACATTCCACTAGCAGGAGGTTACCTTGAAGAGAATTAATGGAGAACTAAATACCTCAAATATTCTCTTAGTTTTAATAGATGAGAATTAGACATTGTTAACTGTTACATTTTATTATCCATTTTAATAGCATGAGATAGAACTATTAAGTGATGATTTTGGCTGAGTAGCTGTAAAGCTCACAGGTTGTTTTCTTGGGTTGTTTTTGTTTTGTTTTGAGTTTCTTTGTGTCAGTTTAACCATTGGAATTTCCAAACAAAAGACTCTTGAGATTGTTATCACAGATTAAGAAGATGCTGTAACAATTATTTGTGTATAACTGTTAATGGCAGAACTCGGACATGCTTTGCAATTGTAATATGGAATTCTGTAATCATTTGGCTCAGCATGTGTTGGATCTGGAGGGCCTTGTCCATTAATGTTCCTTACCTTCTCTACTTTCTGAATTTCAAAGAACACTACCTGGGAAACTTCAAAACTTGCAATAGGTAATTTTACCCACATAGTGAATCATTTGCGCCTTTGATGATTTTTTAAGGCTGTGCCTTGGGGCCTTATTGAAGGCAACATTCTTCATGTTTTCCCATTGCTTGAAGGTCAGACTAGGTAGAATTATTTAGAGGTAAATGCTCCTCCACTAAATCCAGCTATGAGGGATATTGATTTGGTGCAATTCTTGTTATTGTACTGGAGAAGTGGTTTGGATTAAATAAAACAAGGCAGAAAGGTGACACAGTCTGTGTGCTAAAGATCTGTGCACAGAAATGCCAAAGCTGCACAACACGAGAAGATGGAGGAGGAGGCAATTTCTTAGCAGTGAGCTGGTGAAGGTAATGCTGCTTTCATCCATGGGAAGTCCCAGCTCACTTTCTGTTATTTAATGCTGGGCTAAAGATTGGGAATATTTCCTTGTTCTGTTAAATTCAGTGGCAGAATTGGTATTGTGGAATGAAATTAAATTTTCATCTGAGCTCTAAGGAAGCTGAGTGTTGAAAAGGGATGAAGGCAGTTGCACAAAGAATCACTTGTCATTAGTGGTTTTTTTATTTGTTCAAAATTTGCTGTACAATCTTGCAAAATTTATTTGTTAATTATGAAAGTCTATGCAGATGACAGTCAAATCTGGGCATGGGAGGGTAGAAAAATTCCTTTATTTGTTCTTAGCTTAAGGTGGAAGCATTATATTGTATGTACTCAGAAGAAAGGCAATATAATTCAGTGAAAATATAGATTAGGATGGCCCACACCTAAAGTTTACAAAAGTAAGAGAATTAATACTTAATCTAACTTAGTATAGCTTTTTTACAAAGCCACAGTTCTTAAAAGAGTTAGATACTGTGTATATTGAGATGCTGGAAGAACATAGTACTGAATTGGCAAGAGTTCTTTAGGCTGGGAATGGCAGCAAAAATCCTCGTAAAAATTATTTTTTTAAAGATATGTTAACACATATATGAGAAGTCAACTTACTACTGTTTTCAAGTGTTAGTAAATTCTAAATATCATGTTAATGATGAAAGGATCCCTTTAATTTCTGCTACACTCAAGTGTGTGGACATTGGAAATTTTATAGTGTATTTTCTGGGAGGGTGAACAAAGAATTGGAAAGCTGAAGGCTCAAGATGTGACAGCATGTTCAGCATTTTGAGTGAGGAGTACTGTTGTTGGCATAATTTGTACCTGTCCAGGGACACTTCAGCTGTTGAAAATACAATGCACCTGACATTTGCAGAAATAATGTTTTATCGTACTTTAATTAAGAAGTTAAATACCAAAATAAAATATTTTTGTTTCATTTCATACATTGGACTTTTCTTATATTCTTAATTTTAACTTCTAAAACTTCTGTATGGGATGGAATGGGTTGGATTTGATTTTATTTTTTAATAAAATTGCGTTAATATGATTTAATGTAATTTTTTTCCTATGTCCTCCCTGAAGGTCTCCTAGCAGTACATGGTTGTTCTGCATGCCATCCACATCCACAAAACTGTAATCTGGCCTGGATTCATTTTGTCAAACAGGATGTGATAGATACTTAAGATTTATATGTGAGTTTTTTTCATCCAGCTGATTTCAAAGCACTGTTCCAGTCAGTGAGCCCTGCAAACTCTAATTTTAGGGGTAAGCCTTGAAACCACTCCTTATGTTGCTCAGATAAATGAAGGGAATTTAGTTATATAATGTTAGATAGAGTAATTTTTAATATAATACACTCAATAGTTATAATAGTAAAAATCCATGCAAGAAGAAATCAGCATCTAAAGAATTTTTTCATCAGGTAATAAAAAGACTTAAAGCTGTAGCAGTCAAGGCCAATTTACAAAAATCAACCTTTCTTCAGACTCTCCTGGTAGAGTCACAGGCCTTGGCCATGGATGGCAGATTGAAGTAGCTGAGTGAGTGGATGGAATGCTATCCTGTTGGGCTGCTGATTTGGTTGGAATTCTGACTCTTTATTTGCTACTAGTGTGCAAATAGATCTGCTTGAAGAGAGGCAGTCTTGTTGATTATATGAGTCAGGTAAGTTTGTTTCATGGCAAAAATCCATCAATTTGGCATTTTTTCTCCACAGGGTAAGTGTATGTCTGTGGTTTCATGTAATTCTAAACTCTCTGACACATCTGCTCCCTGTGCAAATTCTCTGTTAACCCTTTAACTGTAAATCAGCATCAAATTGCTCACAAAACTTGCTCTGAATTTTTGTAATAGCCAACCGGGTTTATGATGAGATTTTACTCAACCTAAAATACTTTGCTATTGATAATCATAATGCATTTTCCTAGGAACACAACATTTCTTCCATTTCTTCAATATTACATTTCTTAATAGCCATAGAATCCTGGATTATACCAAGGGCTTAAGAAACTGATGCAGTCTTTTTTTCAATTTTAAACTAAATTGGCCTTTAGAGGCTGTCTTTCATTGGAATATTGACTACTTCCAATAACTGCAAACCTTCATTACCTTGGATACTACAGTAAAAATACAGATCAAACCTTAAAACAGAAGTAACCACCTTCATGATTAAAAAAAAAATATTTCTGACCCAATTAGAGAGGATTAAACTTGACAAATTGGATGTCTTGCATAGTAAAACGGAAAATTAAACACTTGGAGAATGGGCTTGTTTATTTATTTTTCACATAGTTGCCAAACTAAGTTGTGTTTAAAGAAAAAAAGTTCCCAGAAGGATTTTACATTGAGGAAACCAGTGCCAGGAATATTTTCAGATATTTTAGGGCTGGTGAGAATTTCTGGTGCAAGTTGTAGTACTATAATCACGATATAAAAGTGGGTTTTGGCAACATTCTTTAGGCCTTTCCAGAAGGCAGTGACCACGCCCTTTTTAGTAATGCTTTGTTTCTCAGGTGATTCAACCAATCTCATTGGGTCTGGTGATGAAATCAGATCCTAATGATGGGAGTGGGACATAGATCAGTCAGATTTTTCTTTGTAAGTGCACAACTGGTCACATACAGGCCGTGAGCAAGTGTTATTGTCCTAATGTTATATGAGAACTGGATAGGAACTAGATAAAGTGTAGGAAATGGATCACTTGGGAACAGGCTGGTGTCAGCTGAAGGCAGGACACAGGGTTTCAGGCCTTGGTCTTGAGCCATAAGGGTGATTCTTGGGGCAGTCTGTGACCTGTCAGTATATTTGGTTAGAGATTATCGTTGCAGCTTTGGCATTTGCAGTAACTTGTGTGATGGAAGCACGGGGCAGTGGTTCATGTCCCAGAGTTCTGCAGCACCACTGCAGCAAATGATCTACTGCTGGGGCATGGTGGGGAACAGAGTGGCACAGCAGGAACTGCAGGAGAAGGAAGTGTTGGATTTGGGGCAGACGTTAAGTGATGTTTTATTTCCTTTACAGCACCCCGCAGAGACCTCTGAAGTGTGAGGTCCCTCGGGGCAGACTCTGCAGGGACCTGTTGCAGCCCCAAAGCACTCCTTGGTGCTATTCCTCTGCAAGGGCATTGCTTGATGAGAACCTGGTTTGCAAGAATGACTCCTTTATAATTTTGATGAAGATCTGGAGTGATTTAATTGCTGTCAGTTACATCATACTTATTTCAAAATAATTAAAAGTGAGAATAGAATTAGACCTGTCTTTAGCAATGTCTAATAGAGGGGATGTACCAGTTAAGCTGTGAGTCATCCACAGAAAGGAAACTGTCTGCTCTTTATTGTAGCTTTTGCAAACATGCCAAGGTGTGTTTAGGTGCTAGGAAGGAAGTCACCATCTCTTTGCTGAAGATTTGGACAATGCTCAGCTACTGAGGGTGGAGTGGGAATACCACTCCTGACAGTGAATCAGGAAAACAGGACAGGATTTGTGTTTCTGAACTTCCCCTTTGCTTAGGCTGCCTCCAAACCTGAGAAATACCACTATATTTATTTGAATTTTCATGTTTTTATCCTTGAATTGGCTTGCTAAACATTTTTTAAACTATAACAGTCAGATATCACTGTGTTTTTTAAGATAATATTTTAGACCAAAGTAATAATACATTTAAAAATTAAATTTTGTATTTTGCATACTAAAGGAAATTCCATGCTTGCTATGATTTTAAAATGCTGAACAAAAACAATTACAAATTACATTATATAGTGTATCATCTTTAAACCCAGGAAATACAAATTAGTAATTACTGAAAAGTGTTCAGTCTCCCTGGACAATGCTTTTAGTTGATGTGTTTGAGCAGATTCCACTTTGTTATATCATTATACATGTTACATCAACTAATTACTCATTCCCTGTGTGCATAAGTAAGTGGAAATTTTGTGGGCATATAAAACACTCTAAAAGTTAAAGGTCTCTAACAGCCCATCTCTTTCCATTTCCTGATAACGAATATCAAATTAAGCTTTAAATGGGGGGTCTGGAACTGCCACTTTCCATGACAGACATGGTAAGTTGTTGATAAAAAATGGCCATGCACTTACAGCCTGTCCATCCCTGCTTTTATAACCGGCACAGCCAAAGCAGGGGGTGGGATCTCTGCTTTCCACTTACATCGGCTGCAGCTGTCACAAAGGCTCCATGTTTCAGGAACAACCTCACAGATTTCTCCATTCTGCTAAATTATATCACTGCTGCTGGGAGCCCAGGTTTTGCCCATAACCTGGTGTTGCTTAAAACATAAATCTCTGACTTTGCCACAGAGAAAGAGAAGTGCCAAGTCTCCACACACCTGTGTGAATTTATTTATGTGAATTGCTACTTTAAGAGCAGGAAAAAACTCCTGCTATGAACTACGATGTAAAACTAGTATGGCATCTCGATGGCTGTTATCCAGTTGAATTGTCCTGAGTTTAAAAATAATTCACCTTTAGAACCAGTTTCTTTAAATATTACTTTAATTCCAGAATGTTTTCATACAGTATGGAGTTGAGAGATTACTTTAGTATTCCAACCTGAAGAAATGACATGGAATTAGAGACCTTTGCTTAAAGCAAGGTCTGATGTCCATGTGTCTCTTCCATACCATTCCTATCCTCAGCAATTAGAAACAACTGAGAGATGAAATCTCCTTGCAAGATGTTGGTTTAGAAAGTAAGGCCAAACCATAGTTAATTATTAGTTATTTTGCTGTAAAATGTTTCTGATGTCTGTGCTACAAAATGTGATGAGTTTCTTTATTATTGTTTTTCCATTGCTGGCCATGCCACTACTGTGAGAGATCTACCACCTACATTTCATTTGAGTTTGTATTTGTTTTAAGTGATGCAAGTGTTAGTATTTAATATTATTATACTGACTTGGGTCACAGAAAATAAGATCTTTACCAGGCACAGTACAAACATAGACTAGGACGAATCACTCATCAAAAGTGCTCATCATCTATCATCATCTATCATCATCTTCACATCCCTGTATTTTTTCAGGTCACTAGGACTTTTGAGTGTATTTCCATACTACTATTTTATCCAAAACACACATGCCTGTTACCATCTGTACATTATTTGTCACTATTTTCCGCAAGTTTTTAACCTAATGGGACCTACTCCAGGTCGCACGCTGTTAATCTCGTTTGAGACTCTTAGCGTGGCGCGATGTCCTTTGGCTTTCTATGGTCTGGTTCCTGAGCTGTTCCCAACCCCAGCCTGGTTCCTTCACCTTCACCTTCCCCGGGCGGGACCGAGGGCGGAGGCCGGGGCAGCGCAGCCCGGAGCCCCGGCAGAGGCCCAGGCCGGTCGGTGCTGCTGAGGCAGCTGCTGTGGGCCCGAGCAGCCGCCGCTGGCCGGGATGAGCCGTGCAGAACGGACCGGGAGAGGAAGGGAAGGACAGGACACGCAGCCGAGGAGCAGATTGGAGCCGGAGTGAGAAGGGCGGAGAGCCGGGCGGGGCCGGCGGAGAGGGGCGGGCGGCGGGGCGAGGCGAACACGGACACACAGACACACACACACACACACACACAGACCCATCCCCTCCCTCTGCCTGCCGTGACAGTCGCCCGGAGCCCCGGGACCGCGTCCCACCCCGTGCCGCCGGCTCCCCGTGCCCACCCTCCGTACCCTTCCTGCTGCCGTCGGGCCGGGCCGGCAGCTCCGCCAGCCGCATGCCCGGAGCGGAGCAGGAGCGGGAGCAGAACGGCACAAGGTGAGTGCTGTCCCTCGGGGCTGCGCTCCGGCGGCGCTGGGCAGGTGGGCGCTGCCCAGCCCGGCTGGACAGGCTCGACTCTTCTGTACTGCTGGAGGCGGCAGTGGCGGAGCTGAGCGGAACTCGGCACGGAGCGGTAGCGGCAGTGGCACTGTGGGTCAGGAGGGGACTCCCGCCGGCTTCTGGTGGGTGGAACGGGGCTCGTCCTGCTCCGGCTCCTCGCCCCGCTCCGCGCTGCCCCGTGCCGGGGAGGCCGCAGCTGCCCAGGCCGGTGCGGGACGCGCGGGCTCCACTCGTGCCCCGTGAGGGGCCCTGAGGGGGCGGCTCCGGGACCGGCGGGCGCTCGACCCGCTGCCTCTTGGGGGCCTTTATTTGTTTATGCTTTTGAAGAACTTTTAGCGTTTGTTTAGTCGCAAATCTTACACGAGCCGTCGGCTTGGAGGGAAGGGCCGCGGTGGACGCAGCTCCTTTGAGCCCCGCGGTGGCTGTCACGGGCCGGCTGTGCCGCCGCTGCTGTTTGCCTTGGCGGGGCACGGAGCCGGCTCTCGGCCCTTCCCTCCGCCCGCACGGCCCACGCCTCGGGGAAGGAGGCTCGGGAGGCTCGGGCCGAAAGGAAAGTGGAGAATAAACAATCAGGGAGCGCGGTGAGTTACCCTTGTGGAGCGAGGCTCCGCAGCCCTCCTGGGCTGTGGTGGGAGGCAGCGCTGGGGCGCGGAGCCAGCCCGGTCTCTGCGGCTCGCAGGTGAACGCGCGGTGCAGCGGCCAGGAACCATGTGCGTTCATGCAGGAAAGTCAGCTCTGGTAATTTATTTTTGATTTTCTTTTTAAACTTATTTTTTTCTATAGTTCTTTAATCATATGACTCTATAAACGTTCTTGTATACCTTTTCCATGTATGCCTACATTTATTCATGCATTTTCTAGTTAAACGTTACCCTTCAGTACATTTTCACAGTTAAAGGGCCGAGGCAAATCCCTCATCCTCAAACAGTTGCTATGCACCTTTGGTTGCATACCTAGTTCTGTAGCATATAGGGAGGTCTGCCGAGTGCAACAAGTTATGAGATGGATGTTGTATCTGTACAGAATTTGAGTTCAGAGTAGGAGAACCCATGGGATTTGGAAACAAATGGAGTTAAGTATTTATTGCAGAATAACAGTGCTTGCAGAATGTAGGTGGTAGAGTATGAGAAACAGAGCTGCCCTGGTGTGGATGAAGTAAGGGAATTCATGGGTATGTCTCTGACTTGTCACTTAGTGGATTCAGTCCTTCTGTTTAAATGTTTCCTATGTATGATATGATACCTATTCTCAGTAAGTGTTTGTTGGCCAGTTTCAGTAAATAAAATGTCACATTGTTTTGAACAGGAGTCCCATTCACGTTCCCGTCGGAGCGGTGTGTCTGGGTGAGCAGTGTGACAGGGCCTCGTGACCCGTCAAGGCACTGTGACACTCAGCATCATTCCCTGCACATTCTCGCAGACCTCCGCTCTGTCTTGAATAGCTCACTTCTTCTCAGGACTCTTTCAGTGTCGACAGTTGTTCTGGCGTCATTCCAAGTCGTGAGGGTCGTATGTGCACATAATTTGGAGGTGTATTATGTGGAGTTGCTTCCAGCAAGTGGCCAGTGAGACCACATGGCCTTAAACAAAACAGTTTTGTTTTGCTGCTCATGAATTGAAGTGGGTGATACCTGCTTCTGCTCGGGAGTTTATGTGTAATACCTTCATGTTGACTCAGGAGCTTTTTCCTGTGTTGAAAAGCTCCTGAGTGTTTATTTTTTCCTGTCTTAAATATTTTGCTTTAAGTGTTAAAGAAGATTAACCTGACCTCTAAAATCTTGTTTATCCTGGAGTTTTATTAGTATGTTTTCAGTGATTTAGATTTTTTAACACTGTCCTTTGCTGAAAGTATTTTTCTGGGGTTTTTTTTTGTGTTTGTTTTTCTTTTTTTGTAGGAGCATCTGCCTACTGCTACAAATGCTGTAATGAATGCATTTAGAATCCTTGAGGAGTGCTTTGTGGGTGCTGTATCTTATTGAAGACAATGACATACATAGTTACACTCAGTGTATGAGTGAGAGCTTTGTTTGGAGAAATAATTTGTTGCTCTTCTCTTCCTGTGAAATATGGAGGGAAATTGGCAAGTGATATGTTTGTGGAAGACTATTTTGTTTAACTCAACTAGCCTCTTTAAATGTCTTTGCTTTGTTAACAAAGTGTGCCTCTCAACTTGTGGGGATATGTTGTGGATTCCAGTTGTTCGGCTCATACGAAATCTGGAATTGACAAATGGCTGGAGTCTTGCATAAGTCTTTAAGAGTGTGTAATATTACTGTAGTGTAGCAGCTAAAAAAATTGGAAAATAAAGGACTTGGTAAATATGCTCCAGTAATGTGTGATAAACACGCACTCCCTTCTTTACTTTTTGACTATAACAGCTCTAAAGTAACTATTCTGAAATAAATGGTTATTTAGCGTGTGGCTGCGGTGGTCTCCACCCCCAAATGTAACACGGGGGATGTGCAAACACGCACACCCTGTTCTCTCCTCTAGTGCCAGCGAGGTAGAACGTGCAGGGATGTGCTGTGAGGTACCGAAATGCGGGCAATCATTAACCCGCAGGTGCTCGGCACAGCCCGGGGTCAGCGGGAAGCGCTCGTGGCCGGAGGGCCGGGCTGTTAGCGCTGAACGCGGGTGTGCGCTCACTGAATTCTAATCGCGGGCTGAGGAGCGGCCCCGGGGGGACGCGGCTGCCGTGCCTGGAGGAGGAAATTTCCTGTGACTTGTGCCTTAGCCGGACCGCTGCTGGGGACGGTGCTTGAAGGCATGGCCAGTAGTAAAATGGAGCAATTCCCTCCAAAAATTTGTTTAAACTGCACAAGAAGCAGAAGCTTTATGTTCTTGGCAACGAAAGGGGGTTTTGGCCTTTTGTGTTAAATTATTATATATGCAATCAGAAATGTAACTAGAAAGGTGCCCTATACTACTGTTTTTACTTTTTCCCTTTCTGTAGAGTTAATTACTCTCACAGTTCTCCAGTTGCCTTCATAGCTCTGCAGGTTTAATCAATGTGTGGTGCAACTTGCATTAAAAAGTTTGTTGGTTTTTACACCACTGAAGCTTGTATAACCTTGGAAAGAATTATCTGGACTTGTGTGGTTTCTGTAGAGCAAGAACATCTACTTTGCTGGTATCATCTCTCAGACATTTTAGTTGTTAAAGAGAACTGCAGCCTTTTTTAGTTTATTTCAAACACTTCACCGTTTCTCCTAAATTAATTTTCAGTATTTTAACTAGTAGAAGAGTATCCATTACACTGTATGTATTGTATCAGGAATCCTACTGGTTTTATTTTAACTACAACAGTGTGCCCATGTAGTGTTCCTTCAGAATGTTTTGTCTGGACTATCACCTGTTTCCTGAAGATGACAACCAGCTGTTTGGACAGAGTGTATATTGGGGGTGACTGACTCCTTCTGCTTGTGTGTGGCCTTTATGTGGGACATGTTAAAGGCACGTAGGAATTGCAGCACCAGCACCTTTATGTGGACTCTGCAGTGATGAGGGATCCCAGGCCTGGCATCTCCCTGTGAACTGTGAGGTTCTTAGGTGAGGATAAGCCCTAAAATGCTTTGCCTACAGAAGTAGGTGCTGTCAAAATTAACATTTGCTGATGCTCCATAGATAAGTAATTAATAGCCAAGAAGAAAACACCAACTCAAGTGAGTTGATTGTTGTGTGAAGGGGTGATCTTACAAACTTTCCTATCTTGGCTTGGGTTCTAAAAACTTTCCCATGTAGGTTTGGATTCTGACTGTGCTTAGCAATTGCAGGTGAAAAGCCTTAAAGACTCAATTTTAGGGCAATGCAACTCTTCGTCTGCCTTTCAACGTATTAAAAAACCAAGAATATAATGCAAGGCAAACTTGATGAACTTCAATTAAATTTATTAAACTGTACATAAATCCTGAATGAAATAATTGTGATTATTAAGACAGTGGGCTGAAAGCATCATCATTTTAATTTTAGGCAGAAAATATGACACGCTTCTAGACAGATAAAATTTGAACCTGCTGCCATTTCCTGGCAGTGATGATTCTGTTAAAGGGAAAAAAGTGTTCTGTTTGTCTCAACTGTGGTGGTATTTCTCTTGATTTTCATTTGTTCTTTATGTATTTTTGTTGAGGATAAACATCTTAATTATGGAGGAAGCAGAAATATGCTGAAAGGATGAGAAGAATATGAAGAAAAGGGACAGTGGTTGCATTAATTTCATACTGGACATGCATGCTCTATCTTTTTATTTTTTCCCTTGAGTTTCTTTTACCATGAAAAAGATTTAATTTCAGAGCTAGTTTCAGAAAATGCATCTTTTTTGTCTAGTAAGTTGTTCCTTAAATTGACTTAGCTTTGCATAGCCCTTGTAATATTCTTTACAGAAACAGCAAAAGTTACTTCTGGAAATAATTTTCCTTGAGACAAAATCTAGATTTACAAAAAACATAGAAAAAAATCTTTGTGTTTTATGGTTACAGCTTTTGAATAGACACTTAGTGCTTGCTTTCAAATACAGACGTTTGAGGAGGATAGAGTTAAATAAATCTCAAATTGCTGGTTGTATGAGTCACTAAATTGGGAACATAAATACTCATATTCTTTGGAAAGGACCTCTCAACATTGTTTTCCTGCATAGTGTCAGCTGCAAAACACAATACAATATGTTTAGCTTAATACTAGTTGTATTTGCATTTGAAATCATAGTTTATAATAAAAGTCAGATAACCTTTTGCATGTTAAACTGACCGAGGGCTAGCTTTAAGTCTCCAGTGGAAACTGCATTATCATACTCTTGTGTTTTGTTTGCTTGCTTTGCTGAAAAGAAATAAAAACTTGGAGAGGGGTAAAGGGTAAAGAAATGGGCAGTGCTGGAGAAATCTCCCTGCATGCTGATAGAAGGAATAGGTTGTTTTGTTTGGTGTCTGGTGCTGAAGCCAGAGA